GCAAACAGATACAATATATTTTTATTAACCCAAACTTTCAGAATGATGGAAAGAGAATTGAAACTTTCTATGTTTTTTACCATTTTTAAAAGTGGTTAAAAACATAGAAAGTTTCAATTCTCTTTTCTCCATTATGATNATGTTCTTCAATGATATTGGTAAGTGTTTTCAACTATAAGTTTTATATTAGTGTTCCACGTATCTGTCGCAGTAGCAGACGAAACGTTCGGTAATACAACCCCAAGTAAAAATTATGAAATATTTAATTTAAATTAGAATTTTATCGATTATAGCATTTTATTGAAACAATGCCTTAGTCAAACGACACCGAGTTATCATCACGAGAATAATTCTATAATAAATTGAACTATGAATACATAACGAAAGAGAAATATGCTCATGCACAAAATGTTCTTGAGTAATTCAAAGTACATTATGATATTGATTGTGATATTTTAATTTGCCATAATACTATAATATCCCCAGGATAATGTGTCATTTGAGTTAGCCAATAGAAATCGTTTGTCATCAAATTCGCTCAGTACAATTTCATTTTATTCAACTGAATATGAAATATGAGATTATGACTTGATTATACTTCGAGACAGCCAAATACAAGTTACTAAATGCGTGACAAAGTTGAAAATAATTGGAAAATACCGTTATACAGTTTGACAAAATGAATGAAAACTGTTGAGAAATACGGAAAATATACAGGGTGATGCGAATATATTAAACAGCGAGACAAGGAAATATAGGTTATTCAATGTGGAACAAAGTAGAAAATAATTGAAAAAGTATAAAGACAGTAACGATGTTATACGGATAAACGAAAAGCACCACATAGTGGTGGAGATTTACATCATTATTTGTACTTTAAGCTTAGTCCGGACATAAATCAACACTCACAAAGTACCTACAGCTGAGCCCAAGTGACTGTAAGATAAGTAAAACTCCACTAACTTTCAGTTCGGAAGCGGAAAAAGGAAAGCAGAGATGAGTTAAAGTACTCAAATGACCTATAAGTAGTCAGCTCCCGAAGAAATCGGTCCAGTCATCACCCGAAGATGATTGTGGATACTAACAATCGAAACGTCGTGAATTAACTTGGCTTGGAACCTCTATTTCCTGAATGAATTCAACATATTAAATAAAACTTCTTTCACTTTGAAATGACCTAACGAATCACCAGTCAACCTTTTTCAATTTTGCATTTTGCCTAACTCATTTTGTTGACATTTGGGTTAGAGTTCTGAGATAAAATGTGATAACAATTTCAATTGACAGACAAACACATTTCTAAAATGTCCTATGTATGTGAGTTGTTTTTTACCAACCTTGTATCTTTCAACATGATGTTTATTCATCACTATAAACCGTCGTATATAATTTTTCGTTATTGCATATTTTCGACAACTCTCTCTGCATAAGATAAGTTTTCCTTGTAGATATTCCATGTATATATTTCTTATAGATATTTCATGCAGATATTTCTTGAGGATACTATCCAGTAGATGATATTCCACAAAGCCTGAAGAATACTTCAAAACATGAATCTTTTTTCCACATACACAACGCCTTTTTTATCGTCTTTGCTCAAGAAGAAGAATGGTTTTGGCGGTAGTAGCAGAAAATTGTTACATTGATCACCGATCTCAATGGCAATTTCCTTGGGGTAGAATTGTTGCTCAACAAAAAATCCCTGAATATTGACGACTGCTAGTCTCACAATGTGCAACTATAGACTGACAAAATGGAAACGGCTGAGACTTGACATTCGTTCTGGAAAGGGTGCTTAGATAATTTTGGATGTTGTTGTTGAGATGACTCTGAACTGAAACTTCACTCGTTAATATATGTGGAAGCTTATGAGATTTGAAACTCGTTCTGGAAAAGTTGCTGAGACGGTTTTGGATGCTGTTGTTGGTATGATTCTGAACCCATACTGCACACGTTGATAAATTTTTCTGAAAAAAATTCGATTTTCAAATAAAACATACACAAAAAAAATTATTTCCAACAGTGAGGGTAATGACTTTCATGAAGTGATGGTGATAAATGAATGAGCTGCGCTTATAATTGAAAAAAAAATCAGCTGTCATTCACAACAAGGCATTCAAAACACATATTCTACACGTACTACTCGAAGGAAAAATATTTTATGAAACCACTACCATTATGCGGATCATATCTATGCATGAAGAAATGTTTGAGCCGAACAAAAAATATGGTATACAACCACAAACTCTTCACATACTGAACAGAGAAAAAATTGGGAACAATACTCAACTTAATTCCGTACAATTCCAAATGAAACCACACAATTCGGTTTACCAATGTCCACCAACCCTTTAAATACAACAGAGTATTTTTCTGATGGAAATTATTCCAAATAGGAGCGATACTTTTCCATCACTGGGTGAGGCAGAAATGACACTTTCCCACCAAAATCAAACAACAGAGCCTCACCAAATTTAACTCTCACGATTTTGGCTGCCAATATCTACTGCGGCGTCCCCACAGGCAAATCTGCTACTTTGATAATTGGCTTCCTCTCCACGATCGAACTTGCATTCAGTTTTTGTAAATCCTTCTGCGAAAAACCAAAAATAAAAAAATATGTTTTGAATTACAAATAATACGAACACTTTCTCAAACAAACGACAACATGAAAACTATTTGACTGAAATCATCCAAAATATATTGAGATGAATTTTGAAAATTAAATGATAATTCAACAACTCTCAGCAACTTTCAATTACATTACATTTGAATAAATTGATCTGGGAAAAAGTCAAACTCAAAAACACTTACTCTCAAATAGAATCGGTGCACTTTCAACTGATACAACTAACTTATTTCATCACGCAGGACGTATTTATAGTGGAATAAGTAATGACAACTGCTTATCTCCTAATGTTGGTTGATTCAGCAATGACAGTGATCAATTTCATGTTGGGTATGAATAGGAAAATAGGTGATAACAAATTCTGAAATGAAACAAAGAAATTCATAAAGTCTTTGTTTCGTCGTTTTGAGGCGTATTGCCGGATGCCGATTCAGCATTGGCATTGATCCATGCCACCTTATGTATGAGTAGAGAAGGTCAACAAACAACATATAACACATGAATTTCGATTTCTTCTCCCTCTTATTTGATGTGCTACATGTGATGATGCGACTATCATTAGCGAAGATACAACTTAGTGCCCTTCTGACATCGTCTTCGATTTTTTTGTCGATTAATTATGCATTTCTTTTTCCTTCATTTGATATGCTGCACATTGAAATTCAACTATCATTAATGAAGATATGGCTTAGAGCACTTCTAACATGATGCGCCATCTTTGTTTTATATTTGCTGATGAGTTCTGCAGTCGTTTCCCTTTCATTTGATGTGTGTGCATGACGATCCGAATATTATTAACGAAGATGCGGGTTAGTGTACTTCTGACATTTTGATACAGTTTTGTTTTTCCTTTGTCGATGAGTTCTGCATCCGTTCCCTTTTCATTTGAAAATATGGTTCAGTTCCCATTTTGACTGCCTCTTTGTTTTTGTTTGTTAATAAATTCAAAATTCCTCTTTTCATTTGACGTGCTGCACGTGACTATGACTATCATTAACGAAGATGTAACTTGATGCCTTTCTGACAGACATATTGCATGCCATTTTTGTTTGTTCTTGTCAATTCATTCTGCATTCCTTTTCCTTTCATTCGATGTGCTACACATGACGATGCGACTATTACTAGCGAAGATATAGCTCAGTGCCATCTTGAGATCATCTCTGTTTTTTTTCTTCGTCGATAAATTCTGTATTTGTTCCCATTTTATTTGATGTGCTGCACGTTGAGAACAAACTATTATTAATGAAAGTACGGCTTAGTGCCCTTTCGGCATGTCACCATCTTTTGTTTTTCTTTGTCGATGAATTCTGCATTCATTCACCATTCAATCGATGTGCTAAACGTGACGATGCGACTATTATGAGCGAAAATACAATTTAGTGTCCTCTTGGCATCATATTCGTTATTTTTCTTTGTCGATGAATTCTACACTCGTTTTCATTTCATTTGATGTTCCGATCGGCGGTGTGAAAATGACCAAAAGAAAAAGCATGGTATTTGAAGTTTGAATCTTTGAAGCTTATATAACGAATAAACTCACGCAAAAAAAGTATTGTGAAATACCTTGTTTTTCCTAAATGATGTATTTTGTCACACTCTGTACACATTGACCCAATGTTTTTCTAGGCGTATTTTGAAACACCCTGTTCGCATTGAGAGATCACACGTTGGAACGTTACAGCCTTGTTGAACTGTCATGTTTTTTCTTAAACGATGTATTTCGACGCACCCTGTATACTCCACATAATGTCCGTTACATTGTTGCCATGGTTTTTTTCATCAATGATGTATTTCATCACAACTTGTTCACATTGACGTCATGTTTTTTCTTGATGTATTTTCAGGCACATTGTTAACGTAGGAAGGATTGCACGTATGAACATCAGAGTCCTGTTAAATTGCAATGATTCTTCTCAAATGATGTATTTTGCAACATTTTTTAGTAGCAGATTACAGCCGGTTCTGGGCCTCCCCCCACCACTATGACGTACTAATTGCTTTTTTTTGTTGTTGTTTAGTAACATCAAGGCGATGTGACCTTGAAGTGTCTGGTGCATGGATCGTTCAGAATTTTTTTTAAAATGATATTTTGTGTGTGTGTGTGTGTGTGTGACATAATGACGTAATTACATTTGGTTGGTGTGTGTGTGTGTGAGAATGCACGATACAGGGTTTCATCATGTGCTTGTCTGTGTACAAACATACGTCTGCATACTTCGAAGATCCTTCAAGTAATGGTTGTTCCATCGGTGTGAGCCCACCAAGTTAGTAGTGGTGTGACGTCACAGCAGCAACCTTCAACGGTAAGAGAGCGAGATGTTCACTCCACGGCGTGTGGCTGAGTAATGCGTATTCATCGGTGTGTCCTCACCTCCCTCGATGTGGTGAAGGCTGTGACGTAAGGCATCGCTCTAGCCTCGCTGTCAATGGTGACACGCAGGCGGCCGAAGACTGAGTTAACGTCTGCCCTCTACGAGAGCGCAACGACCACTCTATGTTCGTATCGACATCTGTTAACACATCCAACTGGGAGGTGGGCTTGGCTGTGACGTCAGGCATCTCTAGTAGGTAGCAACTAGCAATGTGAACCTTTCACAGTTTCATGGTGGGGGTGACTCGCACACTATGAAATCAGTAGACGAATATATCTGCGGCAGTTAGCAATTGGTAGATTGTTATTCAGTTCGTAATAAACAGAAGACGGTGAGTGTATTTGTCTGTTGGAAATTGTTTATATTTTCATACATATTTTCATCATGTCCGTTTTAAAAGTAGACTTGAATAAAAACAATAATTTGATTGTACAGAAGGTTGGAATACTAGAGCAAAAGGCCTTATCATCATTGTCAATTGATGAAGTGTACATAATCAAAAATATGTCAACTCATTCTACAAGGTTTGGTTAATCAATTTTATTAACTTTGGAAGATTTAAGCAATAATAAATCATTTAAAACATGGCTACGAAAACGTATTTCGTTGCAATTCAGTGATGACGATATAACTTGTATCAACTCATCGGATGGTAAATAAACAATGACGTATTTAGGTCAGAGCCCACAAAGTTTTGCTGGCATGAAAACGCGATCTCTAGTCAAATTCAATATGATTGAATAATAATAGTAATCATTTATAGTGAATTTCTTTAGGTCAGAGCCCACAAAGTTTCGCTGGCATGAAAACGCGATCTCTAGTCAAATTCAATATGATTGAATAATGGAAGTAATTATATATAGTGAATTTCTTTAGGTCAGAGCCCACAAAGTTTTGCTGGCATGAAAACGCGATCTCTAGTCAAATTCAATATGATTGAATAATAATAGTAATCATTTATAGTGAATTTCTTTTTGTTTTAATAATATTCATATATTAGATGATTTAGATGATAATTATATGGAAATATAAACATTACTAACTTAGTTGAATACACTCACTTTATGAGTACAAATAAAAGGGGAATGTGAGTATTACATCATGGAAACAAGTTGGAGGTTGCTTATTGTTTTTTTATTCGATTTCAGTTCCACCATTCAAAGATGTGGATGCAGTATGCAAGTCAAGATTGGATCGATGTTGTAGATCTCAAATCATCAGTTCAACATTTGTCGTCTGAATTGAAGGTGTTGGGTGATGGAGCCGAACATGCAAGCATTTATGATATGAGTGTATGCTATGATGAAAAACAAATCGAATTATGTTTTCGTAAAACTGAGAACTATCGGAGTGGTTCAGAAGTTTATAACAAATTTTTGGATAATGAATTGGAATTGTGTCAACTTTGTGAGGTTATGATTGAACTGAACCTGAGAAGATTCCTGTATAGTCTCCAACCATACTTACCAGAATGGATTATTCCTCACTCCGAATTGAAGGATGAAAATCGAGAGGAATTTGAAGATGGTCGCGAAAATAATGACTATGAGGAAGAAGTTATTTTAGATAGACCGTATGTTCCTGTAAATCATAAATAATGTCAAATAAAAATGTTTGTATTATTTTCATGTTTTATTCATTTAAATCACATTATATACAACTGAAAATGATTACAAAACAATAAATATGATATATATGATTAGGAAAAATTACAATACATGATATAAGTCAGTTACAAATGAAAAAAAGGTCATGAAACAGTACATGATAGAGTGGAAAAATGAAACATTATTAATAATTTAAAGAGTGTCAATATCTGCTGTGAACTGAACCATCCAATGCATTGTATGTTAAAACTGTATCATGCAAAATTAATGCATATACTTTAGTGTTGTCTGGAATCTTGGTCTTCCTCGTCTCAAACTCAATCTTTATATCAATAGTTGATGATTTTGTTGCATTCGGTTGATGGGAACAATCGATGATGAATAGCGGATTTTCTCCAAATTGAGCAATGTCCATCAGAGGTTCACTCATATCTTCATAATAATAACTTCGTTGGAAACTCTCAGAAGCATAGTAAGCAAGAGCATCAAGTTTTTTATCGAAATTCAAATTCCAACGCTCAAATGGATAAACTTCAGAATTCAAGTATACTCGAATACTATTGATATCGGCAGTTGTGAATTTTGTAATATTATGTGTTCTATCTTCAGATGTGATAGTAAATGCGATGATGACAAAACAAGGAGTTTCCAGAGAGTCAGTTGTTTTGATGGCCCATATGTCTGAAGAAGTTTCACGTAATGATGGTAGTTCACAGAGGTCCCACATACGATAAGCCAACTTGATTTTGGCATCATCTGGTACAATATGTCTTATTTTCCATTCGATTCTATTTATTTCCAAATCAGCATCAACCTCACCTATTTATGAGTTTTTGAATGATCGAGCGATAATCAAAATCAATTTCTGTTCAGAATTCAAGATACTTTTATTGTAATCTTCAGCAAAACACATCAAATATTGCAGTGGTATTTTTCCACTAAATACATGACTGTTTATATCCAAGATATCTTGTTTCAATTGTGAAAGTCCCCAGCCAGATGTCAGTAATGTGTTAGCAAGTGATTGTCCAAATAATATCATGGTTTTCATTGTAGATGTTATCCCGGGTTTTCTAACAACAGCCACTTGTTCACCACCCATTTCGCAACGAATTTCATCAAAGAGAGATTTCATTATTCAAGAGATAGCATGTTTTCGCTACATCTTTGGGGGTGAATTTACCTTCTGTGTAAATGAAGCTCTCGGCAATATCTAGTAAAACAACTTGATCATTGATTGCAATTCTAATTTCATTCGAATTCCTGAATAGCGATGATCCATAGGGCTCATATGTGTGCTCATGTAAACTTATGAGAGAATGATCGAGCACTGGTTCATCGAATATATTCAACTTTTCACTGTTTGTTTCGGTCACCATTGTTATTTTCTCACTTTCAATCCAATCGAATTCAAAAATTTAAGATCACTCACAGACAGAGCGTTATGTGCTAACTGTTTAGCATACACTTGTGGAATGAGCTTCTTTTTATGCAAACTTTTCTTTTTATGCACACTTTTCTTTTTAATGGTGCAGCTCGTTTTGGGTTGGGATTGTTCAATACGATTTTGTCTATTATGAACCCAATGAAACCCATAACAATAGTTATTCGATTTTCTTCAATTCCAAAATAATGAAAAATCTCTTCTTCACTTCCAAAATCGATGAGGTTATATTTTTCATCCAAAATGCGCACTGTAATGTTGTGAATCAATTGACGACCTTCTGGACTGACAGGCATATATATAATACTGTGTGGTTCTTTAGTAAGATTGTATCCAGGTTCAACATCAATATCGAAATGAGAAAAGAATATGGGATTCTTCACCATTTATATATGAACCAGATATTATATTGCAATCTATATTACAATTGTAATGTTTATTGGTAATGAGGATTCATGGACCTGATCTGGTGGAAATATATCATGAGCGAACCCCATCATTTCTGCCATAAAATTTGGATGTGTCAGATCCGTGTTGGGAATCACACGTTAAAAGGTAAGACCTCGTTAATCCTTAGCTCGCACAAGTTTCGACTTCTGAGGGTTGTCGTTCGTAGGGGTGCGACAGCTGGTTAACGGAAAAACAGATTTCAGATTTCAAACAGAATCTGCAACGATATCAATTGATTTTTCATCATGAAACAACCGGAACATGATATGTTTCTGTATGACGGCACCATTTGGCATTTCAAATGTAAACTTTTGGAGTATCGATGAGTTGTCGTTACTGATTCTGAAACTCACTGAATCATCAACTCCAGTTATATTATTGATTGTATTGCATCCATAGAATCCTCAAAGTCCTAATCCATAACGGCTGTTCCTATCCAATTCATCAGGTGGAAAAAAATCCACACTCAAGACACTTGTCCTGACAGCTTGTAGCTCGAACTTTCGTGACATGACTGATGAATATTTTGAAACACATTCCAATTTATTGTTGTGCACAGTAACAGCACATTTGAGACAATTTACACTTTTTCGAAGGTGCTGTATTGTAATAAATATCATTTTTATTGATACCGATATTCACATCATCTATATTACAAATGAAACACATAGATGTGGACATAGGACCATCATTAACATCCGAATCTCAATTTTCATCGGGATGGTGTTCATAACAATATCTATGTTTCATTATGTCGATATCATCTTGTTGATGTTTGGGTAACTTTTCCCAAACATATGCAATCTCATGTGCAATACATGCAAGTATCACTTCCTTGGGCATATTTGCAAGAATCACTTTATCCATTTTTTTCAAGGTACCATATTTTGAAAACATTCTAAGTGAAAACCCTATTCCCTTGATAGCCTTCCGACCCAGTTTTGGTGTTGTATCCCTTTTATTTGTAAAATTATTCAAAGAGAAACTATAAGCACAAGTGACCACAGAGAACTGTATTAAATTTCTGTTGACAACCATTGTTATATTTGATTTTTACATTCGAACATTTTCGAAAGAATCGAGTCAATTCCAATGGTGGGGGTAGATCTCCAAAACTATCGAGATATGTGACTTCTTTCCCGCATTTTTTATATACCACTCAGTATGTTCCTGGTCCACTTATTCCATCTAAATTGACAATAGATGTCTCGTTTCGTCTTGGACATGAAGAGGGTGATCTCTCAGGCATAAAAACACCACGAAAATGTGGGATTTTCATTTTTTGTGCATAATAACTGAGATCGAGATCGGTGAGAGGCCTCTGAGGTAGGGGTTCAATTAGTTTTTTGTTTTGTTTGTGGCTTTGTATGGTTCAAAATATAGTCCTAAACCGTTACGGTACGGTTTAAGGTATATTCCACTTCCGCGTTTGCCCAATGCTACAGCCTCCATGGTTTTATTGTGGCGATTGGTTTCCATTAAAGTCGCTCTGCTGGCTTTTGCTGAATTCACGGCCTTGGTAATACCAGCAGCG